ATTGTTAAAGTGTAAATTATAAGTGGTCGTGAGACGCGTAATGGTGTTGTTGGCAGCGTAGTTAGTGCTGTGCATAGGGACGTGGAGTAATGGGGTATGACGAGTCCGGCGTCTAGGTGTACAGTATTTGACCTTGCTGACTAGCTCTTTGGAATCAACATTACTGTGTATTACGTCATGCAGTAGGCACATGTCAAGTAACATTCGCCTTTCTTCGAGAGTCAGTAGGCCGTTGCAATGGCAGGCTTCCCTATAAGATGAAAAGTATTTACGCTGTCGATAATTGACGTGATTAATGAAGACTTTTTGAATTCGCTCGATTTATTTTTTGTATAAAGTGGGATAAGGAGACCAAATAGGGCTTGCATATTCTAAAGTACTTCGAACATAAGCGTAATATAGCAGCTTTAATGAGAATGTGTCCTTAAAAGGAGTAGAAGCTCTTAAGACAAATCCCAAATTTTTGTAAGCCTTTTTTACAATATAACTGACGTGATCCGAAAGTGTTAATTTCTCGTCTAACCATACGCCGAGGTCTCGTACATTACCAGTTCTGGTTTTGTCTAAAGTATGAACGTAATATATCTTTATTAGGTTGGAAGAGAAGAATATCAGGGACTAGTAACTACTCTAGTAAGTAAAGGGGAATCAAGGATGTGAGGGCCAATGGGTAAAAGCAAGTATCTCAATTGCTTGGGCCTCTCATAATTTTTCTTAGACATTTTAATATTATAGAAAATTGTAGGAAGGTGTTAAATAACATTCACTCCAGCTTATGGTAAAAGCGTCTACAGCTATTGCATTGGAATTCGGTCTCTAAGAGATAAAGTTTGTGCATTTAGCAGTGGTGCGGGAAGCTAGTAGGTCGATTTGTGGCCGAAATGTTAAACGATGGTTTCAAAACTAGTAGTCGAGAGTTTGTAATGTAGGGGTGTTATTGAAACGGCGGTTGGTACTGGACTGATTTATTATTTGTCATACTGACGGTACATTATTATTGGCATACCCACATATACACCACAGAGTTCCTACTCGAGGTCTGGATTTATAATACTAGATTCGGCGTCAGCTCGGTTTTCTTTGGTATTGACATAAGACGAGTAGATCGAAAGGTTATATGCGTCTCGCACCATTGCCAAATTTGTCGAGCGATTGCATTTAAGTTGGGAAATTGTATTCCGCCCATGCGATTTACGTGGCTAATAGCTGTAGTGTTATCTATTCGTAATAGTATCGCACAATTGGTTAGAAGGTTAGTTGGTTTAGAAGCTAAAGTTTTGAGTCCAAAAAATATTGCCAATAGTTCCAAGTAGTTTATATGGTGATTGCGCTCACTAACTGACCATCCACCGTGAACTCGGATTTCCTCACATTCCGCGCCCCAGCCGGTTCGTGCGGCATCAGTGTAAATTTCCATCTCAAAGTTCTGGTCTCTCATTGAATGGGGTGTTATTCTGATGTTGTTGATCCATCAAGAAAAGATCCTCAAATATAAAACTCCGTAATAATAATAATTTACACTCTTAATTCTGATTATCTGATAGTGCGAGATATTTTTGACGTTCCAATAATTTTGTATATAAGCAACAGTATTGGACAGCCGGACACGCTGCGATTAAATTACCAATTAATTGAGCAAATTTCAACGATTACATACCATTTTGTTAGGTTATCCTATACGTAAACTATTTCCTAACGAACTTTTTCTTATAACAGATGGCGCTGTTCACTAAAATAAATCTCTGCGTGTTACTTTTCCCGAGCAATATGTAGTTAATTGTTATTTACGTATTTACTGGATATTGTACAGTTATAGAACGTAGTCATAGTAATAACACATGGGTAATTTGGTTGCAGGTTACATGTGATTGCAAGGGGATGCAACTGGATCAAAGTGAATGAATGGAGTTGCAAATGTTGGCAGTTGTTTAATGGTAGTAATATGTGGTTAATGCTGCTGGTTACAGGTGGTGACTGTTGATTGTGGAAGATTTCAGGTGAATGCACGTGATTGCAAATACGTGCAGGTGATTGCATGTAGATGGAGGGTAATTGCAGGTGAAAACAGATAATAACTGAAATGAACAGGAAGTACCTGCAACTTCCTGTCCATTCCAGTTAATTTCTGGTAGTTGTGTCTGATTTGCAGTTTGGTTGATGTGGGTGAATTGCAGGTAGATGCAGGTGATACTGTTTTGGTGAAAATTTTATTTATTTATGACACAAATGTCTTATCGGAGGCAAAGGAAATAATACACAGGACAATGTTTCAACGATTTATCTTTACTTGTTTATCTTACACAATTATATTTACAAGTGAGACAGTAACAGTGTCAACAAACCAAAATGTAATTCAAGTCAGAACCACTGCTTAACAAGATGGCATGACGCGAGCGCGGCGCAGCCGCCGCCCCCGCCCCGCCCCGCCCCACCCGCGCCCGCGCATTCGGCGTGGCGCGGGTGAGAGTGACACAACGTAACGTATTAGTTCCATTTGGATTTTGTTTCGTTCGTCCGTCGAGAAAGTCCAAGACTTGCATTTGGATAAGTGCTTTACAGGGAGAATAATTAAAGGGATTGAATATTGGATACGTTGCTCCAAAACGTTAATGTTTTCATTG